CGACATTCTAAGGCGGTGATTGCCTATTGATCATCACTGCCCGCGGGTATATTAGAAGTACCTGGGCAGAGAGGTAGATCTGGCTCCCCAAGAACCCAAGAGATAGCCCGCGAAGGCCTGGTCAGGGAAGGTAAGTGGAACCTCGGCTTTCAGGGAAGGCTAAATGGTTGACAAATGACAATATAATTTCCGGGGGGGTGGAAGGAGGTGGTGTTATATGCAGGGATGCTACAGGCTGTAATGCTTAACAGGTAGTCCAAAGATTTTAATTGTCCGTAAAGAAAAAAAGAAGAAAAAAGATGATGATAAAAATAATATTGACAATAATAATAATAATAATAATAAATGATAATGATAATAATAATAAAATATAATAATGATGATAGTGATCATAATAATAAAATATAATAATGAGGATAATGATAATGATTAAATAATGATAATAACATAACAATGATAATAATAACAGTAATAATAGATTGAAATAACAGACCGGAAGAATAGAAAATAAAAAACTAAAAGTTATATACACAACAAAATAGAAGAAATAGAAATAAAACGGAACAGGATAAAAAAAAATAAATAAATAAATAAATAGAAACATAATTGACGCGAAAGGAAGTAACAGAAGATAAGTACTAGGAAACTGGTAGGGGGCGCGGGGGGGGGGGGGGGTTGGGAGGATCGAAGATGGGGGCAAAATGTGCAATGGGGCGTAAGCGAAAATGCACTGCAATGGAAGCGAGGGGAGGTTGCAATCTTCTTAATTCCTTGGCGGAGGACCTGCGACACAGAGTGGAAACCCCTCGTGTTCTACATCCCGTTCGTGGTCTGACCTTTTTCTCTTACCCGAGAGCGAGAGGATCGGGTATCTCGAGCGCGCGACTCACTTTGCCCCTTCCGGTTAACTCTGTTGGTCGGATATTTATGATTTATATTGTCTGTTCATTAGTTTGTTTATCTTTCTGTTATTGGGGAGCGTTTTGTGTGTGTGTGTGTGTTGTGTGTGTGTGTGTGTGTGTGTGTGTGTGTGTGTGTGTGTGTGTGTGTGTGTGTGTGTGTGTGTGCGTGTAATAATAATAATAATAATAATAATAATAATAATAATAATAATAATAATAATAATAATAATAATAATAATAATAATAATAATAATAATAATAATAATAATAATAATAATAATAATAATAATAATAATAATAATAAATGATAATGATAATAATAATAAATGATAATGATAATAATAATAAAATATAATAATGAGGATAATGATAATAATAATAAATGATAATGATAATAATAATAAAATATAATAATGATGATAGTGATCATAATAATAAAATATAATAATGATGATAGTGATCATAATAATAAAATATAATAATGATGATAGTGATCATAATAATAAAATATAATAATGATGATAGTGATCATAATAATAAAATATAATAATGATGATAGTGATCATAATAATAAAATATAATAATGATGATAGTGATCATAATAATAAAATATAATAATGATGATAGTGATCATAATAATAAAATATAATAATGATGATAGTGATCATAATAATAAAATATAATAATGATGATAGTGATCATAATAATAAAATATAATAATGATGATAGTGATCATAATAATAAAATATAATAATGATGATAGTGATCATAATAATAAAATATAATAATGATGATAGTGATCATAATAATAAAATATAATAATGATGATAGTGATCATAATAATAAAATATAATAATGATGATAGTGATCATAATAATAAAATATAATAATGATGATAGTGATCATAATAATAAAATATAATAATGATGATAGTGATCATAATAATAAAATATAATAATGATGATAGTGATCATAATAATAAAATATAATAATGATGATAGTGATCATAATAATAAAATATAATAATGAGGATAATGATAGTGACAAAAATGATAATAACATAACAATGATAATAATAACAGTAATAATAGATTGAAATAACAGACCGGAAGAATAGACAATAAAAAACTAAAAGTTATATACACAACAAAATAGAAGAAATAGAAATAAAACGGAACAGGATAAAAAAAAAATAAAAAAAATAAATAAATAGAAACATAATTGACGCGAAAGGAAGTAACAGAAGGTAAGTACTAGGAAACTGGTAGGGACGCGGGGGGGGGGGGGGGGAGGAGGAGGATCGAAGATGGGGGCAAAATGTGCAATGGGGCGTAAGCGAAAATGCACTGCAATGGAAGCGAGGGGAGGTTGCAATCTTCTTAATTCCTTGGCGGAGGACCTGCGACACAGAGTGGAAAACCCCTCGTGTTCTACATCCCGTTCGTGGTCTGACCTTTTTCTCTTACCCGAGAGCGAGAGGATCGGGTATCTCGAGCGCGCGACTCACTTTGCCCCTTCCGGTTAACTCTGTTGGTCGGATATTTATGATTTATATTGTCTGTTCATTAGTTTGTTTATCTTTCTGTTATTGGGGAGCG